GTTCTCTCCATGTTTGCATGGGTTTCCTTCAGCTGCGCCGCTTTCTTCACATAGTCCAAAAACATACTGGGTTCTGTTAACTGGCTTCTGGGAAAATCAGCCCAGTGTGAATATTTGTGCCTGTCTGCCCTGCGATGGACTGGTGTCCTAAGTGGTTAGAAAATGGATGGATGTTTTCTTATTAAAGGCAGATCACATCATAAGTGTGCCGTGACAATTTGAAAAATAACAACAGGTTAGTCACAAGTTTGTAATAACAGTAGCGAGCTTTCACACTGCATTTCACAAGGGATTAAATGGAAGCAACACCTTTGCTTTTCTAACCCTTGATGCTGTTCTTCTCTTACTATTCCACTATTTTTGTCTAAGAAGATAATTAAATTGCTAATATAGCAGAATTTCCTTCAGAAAAAAGGCATAAGACATAAATATTGGAACAGGGGGTTGTAAAACACCTTTCCAGTTCCAGCTCTACGTTACGTTACCTAACCCTGATTTCCTTGTGTGTGGGAAACAGCTTCTAGGTGAAGTTTCTTTTCAACATGAAAGATAATTCAAACTGACCTCCTCACGTGCATCTGCATCAGGCTTAACTATCCCCAGAGGATTCAGTGTTGTGTTGCTCCCATACATCTCTGCCTACGCCAACTCATTCGGCCTCTCTGAAAGCCTGTTACACAGTTCTTTCATTTTATTGTCCTTCAACATCCTTGTCATTCTCCATGAGAACCAAGGCTATACAGAGAGGCCATTACATTTGCTTTGAAAAAGGATGTGACACCAGAGCCCTGGTGAAGAACTGCCAGGCACTCTGAATGCCTTTTCCTCTAGCCTAACATCTATCACAAAATCAATTCTCAAGGCTTTTCCCCCCACAACTGCTTGACCTCTCTAACCGTCACCTTGGCAGCAGACACTATTTCTGTCAGTACCCTGTCACTCTTCAGGTGCTCTGCTGAAACTGGAGGAAAGATCCACACCACAACCTTCAGCATCTAGTCCACAGCAAATGAAGCAAAGCAGGGCTTAATGAGAAAATGCACAAGCGGGTTAAAGATGATTGAGCATCCCTCAGACGCACAACAGTGCCCCCTGTATCTTGTTAAAATCCTTCCAGTCCACTCTCTTCCATGAGCGGCTTTTATAGTAGATTGCTACTATAGTAGATTGCTCAAGTGATACGATAAATTACCTTGTACATTGACTGATTTCCAATGTATAAAGTTAATTTAGTCCAGAAGAATCCCACTCCTCCTTGCAATAGAAACATGGATTATGCAAATAAGCCACGTGGAAAGATCTTGTAAAGTACCTGGTTGCTGAGTTTAATGCACCGAAAACATGTACACAGAATCCCACCAGGAAACATAGACTGAATACTACAAAGATAATGATGATACATTATCAGCCAGCAGCCATATCACCCTGCAAATCAGAACTGGCAACCCACTGAAGCTAAGCAGGTGTGAGCCTGGTCAGTACCTGGATGGAAGATCTCCTGGGAAAAACTAAAGTTGCTGCTGGAAGAGGTGTTAGTGGGGCCAGCAGGGGGCACTCACCCTGTGGTCCACGTGGGTCCTAATGCCCCAGTATAGTGATGGGGACACTAAACTGTAAACAGGTGCTGTCCTTCGGATGAGATGCAAAACCGAGGTCCTTTCTCTCTGTGGTCATTAAAAATCGAAAGAGTAGGGTTGTAACCCTGGCATCCTGGCCAAATTTCCCATTGGCCCTTACCAATCATGGCCTCCTAATAATCCCCATCTATGAATTGGCTTCATTACTCTCTGCTCTCCTCCCCACTAATAGCTGATGTGTGGTGCACTATGGCTGCCATTGCATCATCCAGGTGGATGCTGCACATTGGTGGTGGTGGAGGGGAGTCCCCACTACCTGTAAAGCGCTTTGAGTGGAGTGTCCACTCAATTATTATTATTATTACGTCTATAATACATACATACGTCATACTACAATGATGAAGTTGCGATTTGTAAATGTGTCCTGTGTCTTATTCTAGAATGAATAATGAAGACATCATTAGAAACACATGCCCAGGACACACATCACACCAGTAGCATGTGTAAGAGCAGAGCGCTGGTGGGACCAATTTCCCCAGACACCTCTAGGGGAATACACTGCTGTTCTCAGTCACCTATCCAGTTGCTCAAAGACAACTGGCCAGGTGACTGTTTAAAAAGAGAAATCTTCCAGTGTCAGTCAGTCAATGGGGCTTGTGGACTAAAGTTTTTGTGAGTTTCTGAACTTTTGGAAACTTTGAGAAAAGTCTTAGAAAAAGAGACAGACTTTTCTGAGAATTCTGTTTTTGTGGTTGGTAAGCAGTCTATCTGCTCAACTGTGTTAGACAAGGACTTAAAGATGAAGTTTAGGCAGGAGTTCAAAGAAGAGCAAGGCTTGTTTTGTTGTTTGGTTGTGGTCTAATTTATTTTCCCTGAACTAACTAAAAAGCACAAGTGTGTTTTTGAGCCTCACAGTTTGGTCTGAACCCACCTGTTTGAACCTGATCCACACCCATAGGCTGATAATATATATAAAAAAATAAAAAAAAAGATAATTTGGGACAGACTAACATCAACAGTGTAAATGTGACACTGCATTTCCAATGCATTCCCATGAGAAATGTGGAATTAGGACACTGTGCCTTCAACTAATACAGTACTTTCTCTAAGAATTCAGAAGCCTTTCTCCCCAATTAAAATGTTACTTTCACCTTCGCAGTAACAGTTACGCCTGAGTAGAATTTGAACACATTTCAAAAACTGCACTTCTCTCTTGCTTCCTCATCATCTCTGACAGCAAATGTGTGTTTCATTAAAAATGAAACTCATAAGTACAGAAAGAAAACAAAAGCTTCCAGCAGCGTCACAGCAGAGAGACAATGTTAGAGCTGTACCAGCACAGACATGGAGTTGCAGCCTGTGGCAGTAAGATCCTGGGGCCGTGCCTCTGTCTGAACACACTGAGGCAATTACAGGAGGATAGGCCGTCTCATGGAGGCTGCTGACAGCTCCTAATACAAAGGATAACAAAATACCATCAAGCCATCAGAGTGGAGTGAAAGCAAAGTAATAAAGGCCCTTTCACACTAGCAGTAACTCATGGGCTCAGATTTGCTCAAAGCTGTGAAGCAGCACATTTGGAGACCTCGACTTCACATTTTCAGTCAAATCCATGTTCACCGGACAAGTTAAAAAAGCAGCACACTTCTTGCCATTTGTGTAGCTTGCGATACAGAGCCCCTAAAACTGATAGTGCCATTCTCCCCACAACACCCTGGTATATGGTGAGAATCAGCCTTTTATATGATTGACCATCTCTAGCCCTCAATTATGCACATGAACAAGTAACCCAGTGCTGTGTTGATTTATGCTTGGTGTTGTGTCTCATACACAATAATGCTAACTTTGGGCTGTTCATTTGAATAAGCTTTATCATACAGTACCTTGCAATATTTTAATAGCATTACATTCTGTGATCGGTGCACAGAGGTAAGACGCATCTTTACTGACATAATCTCAGGAATACCTGCATAGACCAGTCTGTTTTATCTAACAAGCACATCAGCTTGCACTCTTATCTGTGAATGATCTTTTCAGTGAGACTACAAATCCTCATTAGGGAATCGTCCCTACCCTGCAATACCCATTTGACATTAACAAATGCAAACTCATCAAAAGCAGGGAGGAATCTAATCTGCAAATATCCACGCAGTAGTAGACAGACAAGTTTACAATTCTTAATTGCTACTCACCATTCAGGCAGCCACATGCTTCTCTGGATACATTACGTGAAAAACGCTTATAATCCCCATCAACTCATTTGTGAAAAAGAGAAAGTGCCCTTACACCAATAACAGAACGATAAAAGCACTCCCCCTAAGACCTCTGAGCTGTGACACAATTACTACATATTGTGATGCCCCTATGCTTGTGGCACTACAAGGCTGCTACTTTCTCAGGTGGGTCATGGAATTTTTAAATATTTTTAACTGCACCTTTGTCCAAGATGCCAGTGCAGAGTAATCAATTGTCCTCTGGACCAAGTGTGGACATCACTGTTGTATCTTTGAGAAAGACCGAATGTCTTTGCCAACCCAATTCTGTAGGTGGGTGCCACTGTACCTGGGGAGCTACTGCTCATCAGACTGTCCAATCTGAATTGAGTTTGTTATCTCAGATTGATAAACACTACAGACACAGACATGAAGTTATACATGTAGGAATCAGGTTTCTTGGAAGCCCTGCTCCAGGCCTCTGTACTGGCTTCCCAGCACCACACAGTTGCTGGTTTATTGCCTCCCAGGTCTGCCCATCCAGTTTATTGTGAGAACGTGATATTTGGTCTCTCAATCCTGCAGGCACACAGGTGCTCCAGTCAAATGCAATCAAATCCCACCATATCCATTTCATTTATGACTCTGTCAGTCAAACAGGAAACACTTGCCACGAGGCAGGGGTGGTGAAGAGGGGATCCTAACCCATCCCACAGACAGGACAACCTTTAATGTGAGCTCTGAAGCCTGCTACGCCCACCCAGGAATTACCACTCATGCAGCTACTCATGACATTCCAATCAACATGCTGCAAGGCAGAATTAATATCACTGGTAAACAGCTGGAAGAAACGCAGTGCAGCACTGTCTGCCTCTCTAGTGTTTTTATGTTTTAAACAGTAGTAGAGGCTAAGATCAAAGGTCTCGACACAGAAAAGATACACTGGGAATGAAACCCAGTGAAGGACGTCGGTAACTGACACTGCGAGATATTCTGTTGGCGCAAAGTGAAAGTAAAAGAATCACTCCAGGGTACAAGACCATCATTCCAGCTGGGATCTGGACTCACAACCTTTCGGTTACAAGTCGAGAGCCCTGGAGTGCCAGTGAGCATCGCCCGCAACAGGTATGATGGCAAGGGCAGTATGTGGGGAGCTGGGACAGGGAGGTGTGGGTGCGAGTGCCCAGTACAGCCCAGTGGCAGCAGGTACCTCTGCATGGTGAGGTTTAGGTTGAAGCTGGCACACTTGATCTTGTTCTGTGCATCAAGGTGGGTCATGCCGTCAGTGCTGGCCCCATCGATGGCTATGATGATGTCACCCTGGTTCAGGTTGGCCTGTGCTGCCTTGCTTCCCGGGGTGATCTGTGAAAGGAGAGGAAGCAAATTACTGACTGTGTCTTGGTCAGCAGGCTGCACTGCAGGCTGAGCATCAGAGTAAGGACTTACCTGGAGACCAGGGCCCTTCCAGCCCACCCCACTGCAGGTCTTTAATACAGCCAGCCCTCAGCTCTTATACAGCTCCTACTAATTACCAATTAAATAATTAAGGAGAAAGTTGTATGGGACCAAAGTTCCTTAATGGAGTGAACTGAAAGGAGAGAGGAGTGGCTTGGCTGCTCACACATTCTCTTTTATATGAATTAAGCTGAAACCTACAGTATACAGGCAGTGGATATTCCAAAAAATGTCCAGGCAGAGCACACAGAAAATAATTCAAAATTCCAGGACAAAACTTAACCAGAACAAAATAACTTAGTTTCTTAAGACAATCAGTAGCATTTGCAAAAGGAACCTCTAACAAGTATATTTAACAAATTACTAGCAATAACCTTGTTTCAGAAACAGATTACTTAGGTCTACTTTATATAAAGAGCAAAGCTTGTAAAGACAGAAATGGGTCTGCTGTGTAATGAGAGTCTTATTTCCAACCCTGGAATAGTGTGCATTTTACCTTTATATAGACCTGCTAAAAGTGAGGTCTGGAGTATTAGATTAACTCCACATACGTGTATGGAAATTTACTCAAAATAAGGTATGAAAAAGCACCTGGTGCTGGTTTACTTAGAAGCTAGCAAATCCTTAAACAGCTTCAGCTCCTCTGCAGTTCTACAAGATTTCAGGACTCTGCAAGGCTAAAAGAACAGAACCTTCCTAGTCTTTAACAGATGGGACCTGATCCGAGTACTCAAAATCCTCACAAGCCATTCACATAGTCAACCCAGGGAACATGTGTATGTATATTTGAAACTAAGAATAGGTGGCACTACTTTACACATAGAGGTGTGGGAGTATGAAGCAAGCTAACCAGCCCTGCTGTTGAAGTCAAAAACCTGTATGAGATTTTCAGACCAATTACTTACTAAGAACAAAATAGTCTAGTTGGGCTGAATGGCATCCTCTTATTTGTAACCTTTCTTATGTTCTCATGCAGTCTTGTTTACATGTCTGTAATGCTTTCACTCTATTACAATCTGAGGCCACTACAGATAAGTGCAAAACTGTTTCTACTGAAAGCTTTTATACTGTAAATCCCTTTAATTTAACCACCAACTACAAACAAAATACTATGAAATATGACTAGTTTGGCATATAATCAGCTCAATTAAACTGTGTCTCTTTCAGTACAGACAGGGTGGAGATTAATCACAATCACACTGCCTGGTTATTTACAGCACCTTACTCTATTTCTAACTGCACTACAAGATCAGACTATTCAGGGAAAAGCTTAGCGTTACCCAGCTCCTCCATTCAACAATTCAATTGAAACTCGGTGTGAGGGGACGAGGAAGCAGAAGATGGAAGTGATTGCTCTGGATCTGCTATTTAGGTTCAGAGGGCAGAATTGGTGTACTGCATCACTGCAGTAAGAGAAGTGGACAGTTAATTGTGAACTGGTACATTTGAAAACCAAGCAACACTGGTTCGAATGTCCACAGTGCAATTGTTATGATCTCAAGACCTTTTCATGTCTTCAGAGCCTTCCGCAGGATCTACTCAAGCTGCAGGAGCAAACTCTGAATTCCTTGTCTCCCCAGCGTTGTCAAACGATTCCTTGCCATTCTCACGAATTCTGGAAGCTGAGAACCACCTCCAGCTGGGAAGGGAAATTTCAGACCTCAAGAGGGAGAAGGCAACCTTATAGCTACCTCATTAAATATCAAAAATAAAAGATGCTGTTGACACCTCCTGCCCTCGCACATCACTGTACCAGCTTGCACCTGTTCTCACAAGTCAAAGCTTTCGGCTCACAGCCTTCTCCCCTGAAGATGTCCGACTGCAGCTTCCTGCTGTGGTGAAATAACATGTGATTTCCTCAGGAAAGACCAATTCTAATGCCAACCCTATATCCAGTCTCTGCCCCAGTGAGGCAAACATGACTCACTGCAGAGACCAAGCTAGAGACCAGACCAGAAGCATTAGGAACTTCGGGACTGAGCTCCACAGCAGCAGCTCATTGAACCAGACCACTGAAGGGTCCTGACCGGGATCATCTGTCTCAGCTTCTGGTATCTCATTGCACCACGCCAGGCCAGAAGAGCTTCAATTACAGATGTATTAATTTTTTTTCGTCAAAGTGATGGAATAAAGTCTGCTTTGCAGTTCATCATCACAGTCTCTCTGTGCTCATTAGAGAGAAAGCTTTATTTTAAATTTACTACTGTGATATACAGTAAGTAGAAGTTTTCACAGCTGAAAAAGGACATTACACATTGCCACGGTGATTGTCAGACCCCCATATGATTGTGTTTAGTTGCTGTTTTCCAGATTGTGGAACAACAGGTTTACACTTACAGGAAAGCCCTGAAAATCTCTTTCTCAGCAATTATTATCAGAAACCGCTTTTCCTAGTGCATCGCAGTAAGCGCTGTACTTCAGAGGAGGATGAAGTGGATCCCCTCCTATGTGTGAAGCTCTTTGGAATCCTTTGGGATGAAAAACACTGTATAAATATAAGGATTATTATTGCAGTTGTGTAAAGGTTTAAAGTTAGAAACAGAAATCACTTTAAGAATTTGCTTTTTTGAAAACCACTATAAAAATTCACTTCACTGCTGAGTAAGTGTATTGAACTTGAAACTGATGTAGAAATTTTCCAACAGCAGGAGGGCAAAATGCACCAACCGCTGAAACGTCTGTTCCAGGGCTGATGGACGTGGATTGTCCTCCAGGCACACACAGTATTCTCTACATGCGACGTCTTGCTATGCATAAAACTTAAATGACATATGAACAATATAATGGTTGAATACGGGCAGGGCAGGGTAGCAGATAAGTCTGGACTCAAGACAGGTGGGCTGTGGGTTCAAGTCCCCATTGCAGACACTGCAGTTGTTCCTTGACAAGGTACTTCACTCCAGGTACATATGAATGGGGACCTGCAGTGTGGAAGGGGGAGTCATGTGATCCCTTTTTAACCAAGATAAGGGGGCTGCGTGATAGACTAGTGGTTAGCATTGCTACCTCATGATGCTGGGGTCCTGGGTTCAATGCAAGACCTGGTATGACATCTGTGTAAAGTTTATATGCTCTCCCCATGTTTAATTGGGGTTGCTGTGGTTTCCTCCTATAGAACCTACCTAAAATTGGCCCTGGTGTGAGTGTTTGTGTTTGTGTGTGTGTGATGGACTGGTGTTGCTTGCCCGTTGCTTGCTGGGATAGGCTCTGGCTTCCCCGTGACTCTGTATTGGATAATAGGTCAGAAAATGAATGGATGGAAACCAGGATAAGCTCTGACCAAATGAGCAGATGTGTGTGTCTTGACTATGGAAATGACCTATGTACCCTACAGTTTAATATATCAACTGTGATATATTATATTATTTAATATATCAACACTATTCCATTTGTGACCTGCTTATCAATATAAACAATATGAAGATCACTTAAGTGATGAGAATTTTGTTTTCTTTCTGATAAGTGCTAAAACTGGGTCTTTAAACCTGTATAGAAATATTTTTTTCTTTATTAATTCTACAGATATGACTTCATCTAAAGATATTATGACCTTCAGTAAAATACCCGTGTCTTTCTGGGTATGCAATATAAAATTTTCATTCAGATACATTAGTTTCAGTTTCATTTAATGGTGGTCATGTTATGGTAATACTATAAATCTTATTTTTTCTATCAGATAGTTCACAACAGCTGTCAACATCAACATTAGAAAGAAAATGGTGATTACAATTCCATTCATTTGTTTGGAAAACCAACTGATATTTTCAAAGTAAGTGGTGGAGCCCTTCTGTTCAACTTAAAATATTTACTTACAATCAGAATAATCTCCCAAACACAAGGAACAGATTCAAAACCATGCAATCAGGGGTCTCGAAGTCAGTTCCTGTTTCTGTTTTTTGTTTCACCCTGAGTAATCAAGTAATTAACTAATTATTTTCTAAAGTATACATACTGTATATATGTTTTTTATAAGGTCTTTTAGCAATGATTATACAGACATTGACTTCATTAAAGATACAGTTACCTATAAATCACTGTGTTTGGAAGAGCTACAATAGTGCAGAGAATCAATAAGACCAACTGTGAAACAGAGAACAAGGATGGAGCAACGCCCACTAGACACTCAGCTTTCCAGGAACTGAGTTTGAGAGTATAAGATGGAGAATTAGCCTTGGACAGCCTGGTTTTGGAAAAGCAGGTAATCAATCATTCCACCTACAACTATCCAATTTCATTAAAGAATTTCAGTCACACCCTTTTGCCACTTGATTCCTGTCAGAACAGGATGGTTCCCAGTAAACCCATCATCATCAGGGCCTCAGCTGCAAAGACCATCCTCTGTGTTCTGTAGGTATACTGTATGAAAATGTGCAACTGACTCCCCCTGATCCTTCTCAGGTGAACACAAGCCTCCCTTTTCCATACCACATCTTACAGCTAACCCTCAATTTGACAACTGAGTGAGGACGTAATTAAGGATTAATTAAGTAATTCAATTAGGAGCTGGATAAAACTGAACAGCTACACCGTTCTTCAATAGTCCACTAACAGCAGGTTCACCTACCCCACATGGCTCTGTGTTCAATCTACTAAAAGGACAGACAAGAAGCTGCCAAGCAGGACCTAGAAGAGAGCCGGAGTTATTCTGCTTTGTATGGCAAGCAGCAGGGTGATAACACCCAGTAAGCTGTGTGATACCAGACATGAACCACAGATGGCTTTTAATCCCTATTCTCCCTCTATACATTCAATAAAACATTTTCCCACAAACCACTGTATATTCACACTTTTACAGCAGTTTAATCAGACATTCATTAAACTAAGATTATCCTTCTCAATATAATTTAAAATCTATATGTGTCCACACTGAGAAATAAAAAACCCTCAAAAAACAGAACAGGAATCGT